TCATCTAAATATCATCAAAGGATTCTAGTGAGCACTGATTCACCATGGAAATAATTCTTCCCTTAAGTTCTTATCTTTTCCTGGGCCCAATTATGTATCAGCTTCCAGGTTTCCTTTACTAAGTCTCTTGGTTGAATGGACCTCCCATTTTAAAGGACAGGAGTTTTTACATTCATATTCATATATATCCATCCCACCCATCTGGCAGCCAAGGTCACATAGAACAGGTGCTGTTTGACCTACAGCTCTGGGAATCCACCAGCCAGCTGAAAAACTTTGGGAGCTGTAGTTCAAGAAGTAGCTATTCCAACTGTTAGGAAGAGGTCTTTAAGAAGGTACGGGTGTGGTTCCAAGGCCTGGAAAGGATAAAGGGTGAAATCCTTTCCAAGAAACTGTTCATGTTTTCATACTCTACTAATTCTGTAAGTAGCTATATGAAGATTATTATTTAAGCATCGTTTTCTAAAATATCGGTTCCTCTGGCGCCGGATCTCTTGTAGATGAATTATAGACTCACCATGATTAGCAATCATGCTTCCAATGACATTAGGCTATCAATTTTTAGTTTGTCTTAGTGTGGTACAATGAATGATTTTCCTTTTTTAATTTGGTCTGTCCGCAACCTGTTCCACTTCTGCTTCAGGCTTCATTTGAATTAATTTAATTTGCTCTCTTGAGTCCTATGGGGTGAGGAGGGCAAGAAAGGGAGAGAAGAATGAAATGCATTTTAATGAGTTGCTTCCTCAGTTCTGAGATGTTTCTAAGAACTCCTTTTCAATAATGGGGTTCTATATAGCAGCTGGTATATCAGGACTCAATAAAAAAGCATGAAGTACTGATACACTTAATATCAAACTCACTTAATGAGTTTCTGCATAAAAGCTACCTTATTAAGACTAAGCTACTAAAGTTTTTTATGTAAACAACTTTAAGTTTCCACTAACCCCTTTCTCTTAGAAGTAGATGAGGCATACCTAGCTAAGTAGCGATATCGTATTATTCACTAGAAGTTGAAGTGAGATATCTTTTATACTTGGATGGAATGCTGTTTTCCTCCTTCCTAATTCATAGTATGGTAATTGCCAGGCTGGTTACTGTAACACCCACACCCAGGCAGGCTATGCCAAAGCAGAAGCCAGAGTTTTCACTAAGTAGACTTTTTTAAACAACAACAACTCAACAACAAATCAAAATATAAATACCAGCTGGGGCAAAGCAGCACTGGCTTGGCGGCACAGAAAAGGTTTGAGGGTGGTTGTCATGAGACAATTCCTAAAATAATACTTTTTACCTCCACAAGGAACAGTATTTTTTAAGCTAATGGATCTCAACTCCCATCATCCCTCACTGGCTAGGGCTGATGGGAATGACTGTGGGTAGAACATTTGAAGCAGGACTCAGGAAAACTGGGTTCAAACCCCACTTTACCATGGGAACTCACTGGGGGAAGAGTAGCAATAGTAAACCACTCCTGGAACATCTCCCATACCTCACAAATCCTGTTAAGGTCACCGTAACTCAGAAGCAACATAGGAGCACACAGCATAACATATCTGGAGGACATGGGGATTTGGTAAGTCAACTCCTCCATAAGTTCCATTGATTTAAGAGGGCCCGCTCTAGTTGAGACTTATTTCAGTGTAAGGTTCAGTGTAAAAGTTCCCCTTGACATTTTTAATCCAGTTGTGTCCGACTATAGGGGGTGGTGCTCATCCCCATTTTCAAGCCGTAGAGCCAGCATTTGTCTGAAGACAGTTTCCGTTGTCACGTGGCCAGTGTGACTAGGGAACACCATTTTACCTTCCCACCAAGCTGGTACCTATTTATCTACTTGTATTTACATGCTTTCGAACTGCTAGGTTGGTGAGGAGCTGGGACAAAGCGACGGGAGCTCACTCCATCGCGTGGATTTGATCTTACGACTGCTGGTCTTCTGACCCTGCAGCACAG